AAATTTTCGTCGCACTACCCATTGCATTCTAAATTATTCCACTTGTTGTCTTGAGCATGATGGTGTGCTTGGATTTGGAATTGGTCATCGTTTGATAGTTCGATTGGTTCCAATTTCAATTATGTCGTTCTCTGTACCTCTAAGATCTGTAGGAACTTCTTGATCGAGAATCGGAGTCCCAGAGACTTTGAGTCAATGATTCTAAGTTTAGGCAAAACAATCGTCGTCCGATCAGGCTATTGGCTTAGATCCGACCGCTCGGTCAATACCAAACTTTTGGGACTTGTTTAGTAGACTTTGTTGAACCTGCAGGAACTTTTGGGTTAGAAATCAGATGTCGTGAGCCCTGCAGGCTTATTTGACCTAGATGGTGGACATTGCCGGCCCGACTGGGACCTTTCGGTTATGAGGTGTTTGTGGTTTGGTTGTTTGATTTTAAATTGGTATTTTGCTACAATAGTTTTATTAACTTTTTACAAATTATTGTTCTATCGTTTTTACTTTCCAAGCATGATATATTCATGTTTATTTTTATATGTGTGTTAAATGGATTAATAATTGGATTGTGTTGCCATCGGAAATATGGTTGCTTTCGGAGATATTGATGTCTTCGGACATCTCGGTTGCCTTCGGAAATATTGCTGCCTTTTGAAATAGTGGTGTCTTCGGAAGTATTGATGTCTTTGGACATATAGTTGCCTTCGGAATGTCTTCGAACATATGGTTGCCTTTGGATTGTCTTCGGACACTTCAGTTGCCTTTGGATTTGTTTATGTGTGTATGACATTGCCTTACAAGTATCGGGGACGCCGGAACCATGTGCTGTGAGGATTTGTATTCTCAAGTTGAGTATATCTCCCTTAGTTATGCGAGGGGAATTAATGGATTATTTGCATTCCCAAGTGGAGTATAGCTCCTTGAATTAAACGAGGGAAATTGACAGATTATTTGCATTCTCAGGTGGAGTATATCTCCCTAAGTTATGCGAGGAGAATTGAATTGACAAATTATTTACATTCTTAGGTTGAGTATGTCTCCCTGAGCTATGCAAGGAGAATTGACAGACTATTTGCATTCTCAGGTGGAGTATATCTCCCTGAGTTATGCGAGGGGAATTGATGGATTATTTGCATTTTCAGGTTGAGTATATCTCCTTGATTTACGTGAGGGAAATTGACAGATTATTTGCATTCTCAGGTTGAGTATGTCTCCCTGAGTTATGTCAGGGGAATTGATGGATTATTTGCATTCTTAGGTTGAGTATACCTCCCTAAGTTATGCAAGGGGAATTGATAGATTATTTGCTTTCTCAGGTTGAGTATATCTCTCTGAGCTATGCAAGGGAATTGACGGATTGTTTTGAGGTACATCTATGTGGAGATTAATGCAGTACCAATGGGTGGTACATCTATTATGATATTTTTTCGTCACCCTGCTCATATTATTTGCACAGGGTTGGCAGGGGATCCCTAGCCACTTACCCGACTTGTCTACACAGGTGATTAACTAGTTTTCCCTTCCCTTTTTGCCTTCAGATTTGATGGTATTCCCATATACCTCTTGGTGGGTGATTACATGACATGCACTATGTGAATGGTTGCAGGTATGAATTTCAGGTAAAAGGTTTGGTTATACAAGTATTTGAATGTACAATAATAAACTAATTGAACAGTTAGGTACATAATTTCATGGCATGATATTTAATTATATAACTAGTTGAAATCAAGGTAAAGAATGATTCTAAAATTTCATCGTTGGTTTCACTTTGAATTTTTCTGTATTATCTTAATTGTGATTCATGGTAGAAAGAACTATGTATGGCTTGATCCCTCAGTAAGGGTATGTAGGACCTAGGTTAACCTAGGTGCAACCGCAAGTTTATGATTTGTTTGTTAATGTTAAGTTTTATCAAGTTGAATTTGTTGACTTTCTTATGTTGGTAAAAGGGGGCTTGAAGCCCATTGAAACTTTTACTGATTGGTGTGTGGTTTATACCTTGTGTTTGCTAAACGCTTGGGAAATAATTGAGTTTGTTGTGCAAGTAGATTTTTGGGTTTTGAGCCTTTTTTAGGGAGACTCTGCCGGTTTTCAAGTATAAGTCA